CAATCCCTGATACAAAAAAAAGTCTTTTTAAATTTAGCTCCAAGATGTAGAAGGGGCATAAAAACACTTTTAACTTTTAGCAGACTCACCTAAAATGTTTTATTAAAATGAGATTTTGGCAAAGGGAATTATGTATGATAAATTACTTAAAGGCTAAATTCAATTAGTTGACTGATATGAAAAAACTTGCTGTAAACCAATGACTTGCAAACTTYACTACTAACACAGGGATTATAAAAACTTTTGACTATAAAAATACAGATTGCTGGGCTTTATTCCCAGATTTATGGTTCAGGAGGTCAGGGATATTTCCAATAAGTTCTCAGGTGAGGTGAATGTTGCTGGTTAAGGGGCTTCGGTCTGAGAACCATTGCTCTAAATCAAGGGATGAAATRATAATTATTAGTGATTCTTTCTTTTTATTTTTATTTAGTTGTAGATGGACACAATACCTTTATTTTATTTATTTATTTTTATGTGGTGCTGAGGATCAAACCCATGCCTCACATGTGCCAAGCAAGCACTCAACCACGGAGCCATAACCCCAGACCTAGTCATTCTTTCTTGCAGTAGGTTTAAAACATACTATGTAGTAATTTAAATTTTTGTTAAAAACACTCAGGTATATAATGAAAATTTAAGGTTAAAACAATAATTTAAGCTAGACATATGTTGATAAAAAGAATTACCTGGGGTCAACTTTTCTCTGCTATCCTTAGCAAACATAACAGCATGTTCTGAAACTTCAGATGCTTCTCTCTGTACAAGCTGACGTAAACAAGCCAGGACTGCTCTTCTCAATAACAAGTAGGGACTACAAAGATTCACCTGAAAAATATCATTTGGGGAATGAAAGAGCTACAGTTCTTTGTGGCATTCAGTAAATCCAACAGATATTCATTCATTGGATTTCTTTCTGATYACAATTTATTAAATACACAGTTCTTAAAACTACTTTAAGTATATATTTATGATCATGAAACTTAGAAAAACCTTAAGGAATAATGCACACACTAGATTATGCACTATTCATAAGTAAATTCAAGCAAAAGCCTCTTAACTAGTGTTAGAAGACAAGTTAATTTATTTGAATAAGAATAGTTTTGAGAGATTAAAGAAACAATTTAAAGGATTTATACAAKTATAACTCTATCATAATGAGTTATGATTCTCTAAGAAATGTATAAAAATTTAGCAATATAGCATATTGGTTAAATTGGAAGGTCTAAAGTAAAACTGTTTCAGTTTGAGTACTAGATCCACAACATTTTTAGCTGGATGATCTGGGGCAAGTTATTTAACCTCTCTGTACCTTACTTTCCTTATATATAACTCTCCCATCTCATAAGGATGTTGTGAAATTAACACAAAGTAACATGCAAAGTGCTTACCATAGAACCTGACAAATGTAATGCTCAATAAATATTAGTTATTATTAATGTAGTTTCTAACAAGTTATTTTGTAGTTATTTTATTTAGAAGACATATAGAGTAAGTAAATGCATTCTCAAATAAAGGCAGAAATTTTACTTAGAAAACATTCACCAAAAATACAGAACAGCAAATTATATGTATATATACATAAATGTACATATATATGCATACTTATATGTAGATATACATATATAAATATATTTTAGAGCTACAATGTAATAAATAGGTTGTATTTACTTATGGCAAATGATAAACTTAGTGATATAACTTAAATAATCAATTACAAGTCAGAGGTTTCTGGATGCAAATTCCCATGATTTCACAAGTGAAATAAAATCTAGATATTTAAATTTATTTTGTTCTAACTCAGAAAGTAAAGATAAGCTTGGTGTGATCTATTGCATTTTTTTGTTGTTTTGTTTTGTACTGGGGATTGAACCTAGGGTCTTGCACATGCTAAGATACATTCCACCATTTGAACTACACACCTAGGCCAGTATGTATCTTACAGTGATTTTCAAAGCAAATTTTGAGAAATAATGGCATAATTCTGACAGTGCTCTTATGGTGACTTGGCATATGCAAACAAACAAACAAACAAAAAAACAGAACTGAAGTAGAAGTTTTGTAAACAGCAGAGGCTAAATTCTGAGGTGGAGGGAGGGAGGGAGAGGGGGAGAGAGTGGATGAGGAAGGAAGGGAGGGTTGAGAAAAGGTCGCAGCAGCTACTTTTCAATGTATAAGAAGAAATCTCATGCAAAGGGAGTGTAATATTAAATTTTCTCATAAGCCAGAAACCAGAAAAAGTTAAAATATCATGAATGAAACATGTGGGTGAGAACTTTTTAGTAAATGTTCTATTTTACCCCTAAGCCAWATCACAAATTCAAAAATGGAGAGAGCAATGTCATTCACAAAAGTCTCAAGGTAATATCATTCCAGTCAAGTTTACGAACTTCTGTTGTTTAAAACGAGTATAGAAGATAACAAAGAAGTTAAAATATAAAAAGATCAAGTTTATTCATGCCCAAGATTACTGCTATATTTAACAACSACAAAACACACTCTGCAAGACAATTATAAATGAATCTACTAGTTATTTTAATTGAAGTTTTACAAGCATATAATACAAGGCAGGTGCAGCATTTATTCAGGCTGGTCAAACAGTCTTCTAAAAAAGCATGCTTAGAAGCACTCTGTTTGGTAGAAAAAAGATTGAAGACTGTCACACAAAGCAAAATGGGAGGCTTAATATTTCCATGTCATTCTCCAGCATTTAAATTGGAAGAAGAATAGAGTAGGTTAAGGCAAACAAAGCAGGCAAAACACAGAAATTAAATAAAACTGTAACTACAATTCCTTTCTGATGAATATATTAAATCAAAAAGATGCAAAATTCAGTATAAGATGTGGGTGCATCAGCTGGAGAAGGTTAGGAAGGATTTGCTTACATTGGTATTAAATAAACACCATGTAACATGCTATGCATACAGGACTATGCATCAATGATTAGCTTAAGCACAGGGATGCAGAGGAAAACAAGAACATCTACAATCAAAAACACCACAAACAGCACTGCAAACCTCAAAAAAAGTTAGGAATCAAGGGTCAGGGACCTACCAACACAGAATTATCCAACAAGATCTCCTGTACAAAAACAAATGACAGACCAGTCATGACAAAACCAAAAGATAAACACTAGGATGAGTTGACAACAGTCAGCTAAGCATTAAAATATAAATGTTGATACAGTGATTGTTTAAATTGGCTTAGCTTCAATTTAAAAATGTGGCACAAATACTTTAATTTCTAAGATAATATAAAATATGAATTAAGATCGTGAAAAGAGTCAATAAAAATTCTGGATGTAAAGATATAAAATACACAATAATTTTAAGTTGTATATTTGAGAAATCAGGTTTTATTTTGGAATCCAATTAAGCCTCAGTATTAAAACCAGATTAAGTAGACATGTCTGTGAGAGGAGTGATCTSGACTACATTCACATGAGCAGGTGTCCAGCAACAGACAAAGTTAATGGTTTACTTCATCATAAGTTAATTATAGATAGTTTTTACTCTTGGAAGCCAAGTTTTAAAACAGAGTACTCGAATTGCTGGTGTAGCTAAGGCCAAGTTGAGAATGCAAGTTAAACAGCATGCAGTTAGAAGAAAACCTTTACAGGATTCTTGCCTAATGATAAATGCAATTTCCTTACTCGAGAGAACACTTTAACATATAATAAATACAACCTAATTTAGAATTACTAACCAAAATATCAAGACACAAAATTAATTGCACTGTAGTGATAGTAATTTTTGAATATCTTTTTGAATAGATTTTTTAAAGCAGTTTGAAGATTCACAGCAACACTGAATGAAAAGTAGAGTTCCCATACACACCTTATCCACTTTGAATATGATTTCTATGTAAGCAACAATAACACTTTACAGCTTTAATACTGTGAATAACACGAATTAGATTATTAACAGCTTTACTGCAGATTTTCTCAAATGCTCAAGGCATTAAAAAAAACTCATAGCATAACAGTCTCTATTAACTTTTTTTTGGTCTGGGAAATGGAAAAAAACTACTGTGTTTGATTGGATCTTATTCATCATGAATTAATGAAAATCTTACTCTTCATTTCTCAATAAGCATTAATCAATAAGTGAATTCTTGCTCAAATAAAGGAGAAAATTTAAAAGGTCATTACTGAATATTTTCTACTATACTTCAATAACCAAAAAAAGAGAGTATCACTATATTTWGATGGAAAGTAAACATAAAATCAATTTGCAAAGGAGTAAAAATTTTCTTAATGTTTTTTTTTTTTTGGTGGTGTTGGGGATTGAATCCAAGGCCTCATCTCATGCATGCTAGGCAAATGCTATACCACTAAGCTAAACCCCCATCCCCTAATAGAAACACTTTCAATAATAATTTTGATTCCTCAAATATGAAAAGTAATATTCCAAGAGWAAAGTCATAAGTGTTAAAAGTAAAAATCATTTTTTTGTAAATGCTATTTTTCCTAATACACAATTGACTCAGATCTAAGAAATGCAGGAACAGAAGTTTCTGTCAAAAAAAGTCAGGTCTTCTTTTTTAAGTGTAGTATACAAAATATATCAATAATTAATACAATATACATTTAAGATATATGTCWAGACAGAAAAAAAAAAAACAATTAATAGTATGAAGTGCTAATTAAATGCCCAGACCTGTGCCTTTAAATGGAGCATCTTGCATAATCCACATGTTTAACAGATTAAGAATTTAGGAGGTTATGGGACTTCCCTACAGCCACAAAGTTAGGAGGTGACAGAGACATGATCTAGCCATAAAATATACAGCAAAGACAATTTTAAATAATAAAACAATGATTGGATGAGGAGTCCAGATAAAGAGAGCCTAGACTTAGAATTTTTTTTTGGCCTTGTGGATTAAACCCAGTGTCTGCCTACCACTGTGCTACATCTTCAGCCCTTTTATTTTGAGATAGGGTTCACCAAGTTTCTCAGGCTTGCCTTAAACTTGTGATCTTCTTGYCTCAGCCTCCTGAGCAGCTGGGATTATGGCAGGTGGCACTGTACCCAGTTTAAGACTGGATTTAATGATACAAACATCATCTACAAATGTAGAAACSAGGTACAATGGTGCATGTGTATGATCCCAGCTAACTTGGGAAGATGAGGTACAAGGTTCACAAGTTCAGGGTCAGTCTCAGTAACTCAGTGAGACCCTATCTTTTTTTTCCTTTTCTTTCTTTCTTTCTTTTTTTTTTTTTAAAGAAAACAAAAACTTTAGAAGCTTTATTCTAAAGGTGGGATTGATGGAATCAGATTTTCTTCTTTCTTTCTTTCTTTTTTTTTTTTTTTTGTGGTGCTGGGGATTGAACCCAGGGCCTTTTGCACGTGAGGCAAGCACTCTACCAAGTGAACTATATCTCCAGYTCCTCAGTGAGACCCTATCTTTTAAAAAAAAAAAAAATAGCTGGGAGCAGTGATGCACTACCAATAATCCCAGAAATTTAGGGGGCTTGAAGCAGGAGAATTGCAATTTGAAAGCCAGCCTTAGCAATTTAGCAAGACTCTATCTCAAAATAAAATAAAATAAAATAAAATGTACTGGGGATGTGGCTCGGTGGCTAATTGCTCTGGGTTTAATATTAAATATATCAATAATTAATACRATATACATTTAAGACATACGTCAAGACAGAAAAAAAAAACAATAAATAGTATGGAGTGCTATTGGTATTTTTTGGGTACCAAAAAGTAAAAAAAGATAAAAAATAAAAGACTGTCTGTAGTAATGCTTCTCAACTGCCATACTACTTATGGGAGTATGCTGTAATATCACACAGGCAGAAAAAGTTGAAAAGCCAGGGTGTCAAGTTATAAAGTGAAATGCAACTCAATTTTTGAGGCAAGCCCAGATAGAAATTGTTATGCTCAAGAAAAACCTTAACACCAATGATGCTTATTAATCACCTCATCAGAACTTCTAGTCCATTGCTTCATCTTTCTAAATGTTAGATACATTATTAGAACCCAGATTCTGACACACATATTGAGAAAAAGTATTATTTCTCCATCTGAGATGAAAAGAACTTTTATGCAATAATTTAGAAYAGAGGACAAAGAAAAAAAGAGAAATCACATAAATATTTGCATGTACTAAAGCATTTATATATTACCTGAAACATTATAAGCACCCACTATGTATTGTTTACTGATTAATGAAGAGAGACAGGGTCTCACTGAGTTGCCTAGTGCCTCACTTTTGTTTAGGCTGGTTTTGAAYTTGCGATCCCCTGTCTCAGCCTCCCCAGCCACTGGGATTACAGGTGTGTGCCACCACGCCCAGCAAATATTCCAAATCTTAARTTCAATATTAATGGGAGAAAAAAAATCTGTCTCATGTGCATTCACTTAAGAGGTAAATGTGTGAGAGCTGTCTCCCTCATAAAAAAAAAAAGACTGAAATAAAATAGTTATATATATAACATCTAATTCTGAACATAGTATGAAGAATAATCAAACTGGAATAAATCCAAGTTTCAAACAAAAGAAACTAAGGGCTCATTTATGATTTYATACTCACACAGAGGCAGCTAACCAGGCTAGACAAGTTGACATGCCGAGGAGCAAACATGTGAAGCTGCTGAAGGCAAGAGATGGCCTGAGCTTGAACTAGGCAGTCTGGGTTATCCTGCATCACTGCACAACCCAGCAAACAAGAAGTCCTTAAGGCAGAAACTGAGGTACTGTTACCTAAAATAAAAAACCGGAGGCTTTTAATAATTGACCTATARAATCACTACTCTTTAAATATATTACTAGGTTTTAAAATTTATTTCCAGTTTTATCTTTATGGATCTATGAAGTAAAATTTCTACTGCAAAAGTGAGGACAGGGACTGATGGCATAACTTAGTGCTATAGCACATGGCACACAAAAATTCCTGGGTACACAACACCTGTGCACACATACACATACACCCAAAGCAGGGACAACCTAGGTAACAAACTTTTAGATTACCTTGGTTATTCTTTTTCCTCCCCATTTTAACTTATTCTTTCTGTTTATTACAACACACATCACTAGACAATGAAAAATCTTAGAAGAGATTTCACCAAATTTTCATGAAAAGTAGAATTAGAAATTATCAAAAGGGCTGGGGCTGTGGCTCAGTRGTAGAGCGCTTGCCTAGCATATGTGAGGGACTGGGTTCAATCCTTAGCACCATATAAAAAAACGAAACAAATAAAGGCATGCTGTCCATCTACAACTATAGGAAAAAAAAACATAAAAAAAGAATTACCAATAAACAGAAATTATAGTAGTTACGAGTTACCTTCATATATTATAATCACATACTATTCATTTGAACAGACTGGCATATTTGAGATTTTTTAATTTAGTCATTTATTTTTTAAATAGGTCAGTGCTCCTTAAACTATTCTATGTCTGTCATTTTAATTATTAAGGAATATATCTTACCTTTCTAATTATGGTACTCCTTGTCTTTTCCAGGTAAGAGAAATCAGGCTGAATGACATTTATACATTCATTTAACAAAAACATACTGAGCAACCACCATGTGCCAAATATAGACTGAGAAAGTAATCAATAGTTTTTATGTGTATATTTTTAATGTAAAACATTACAAAAGCCACCCATCCATACCTTGTAGCTCTGGACCTAATGTGGTAATAAGRGCATTCAAACAGCGACCAAGACTCTGGTGAACTTCAGCATGAGTGGGAGGCACATTTAACAACAACATTATAATGAGAGAAAGGGTAGGCTCCACATGCACATAAAAGAGTGGGCCAGCAGAGTCAATTACCAATGATAGAGAATGCAGTGCCCAGGTCTGTGAAGACAGAGAACAACAATTAAAAATGTGATAGTAGCATTAAGAAACATATAAAACATTAAACTGTTSTTTGTTGAAGCAAGGGTTTAAGTAATGGCAAAGTAAGTGTATGCTACAAATAATTTGGAAAGAGAAATGGAGAACCTTAAGAGTTTAAGCTTCTTCTCTTCAACAAGGCTCTCGAGTGGCAGACACAGAGATGCAGACTTTTGTGAAGACCATCTTTTGCATCACTGCACAAAACCAGCAAACAATAAGTCCTGACGGGCAAGGCCATCACCCTCAAGGTCGAGCCCAATGACACCACTGAGAATGTCAAAGCCAAAATTCAAGACAAGGAGGGCACCCCACTGWCCAGCAGCGCCTGATATTTGTGGGCAAACAGCTGGAGGATTTGGCTGCACTCTCTCAGATTACAACATAAAGAGTCCTCCCTGCACTTGGTGCTTCACCTTCCAGGTRGCATCACTGAGCCCTCCCTATGCCAGCTGACTGAGAAGTACAACTGTGACAAGATGATCTGTCACAAGTGTTATGCCCACCTGCCCCCCTGTGCTATCAGCTGCTGCAAGAAGTGTGGCCACACCAATAATCTCTGCCCAAAAAGAAGGTGAAATAAAGCCCCTCACTGGCTCCTTTCCCCAAAGGGTGGCCTCCTGCCCAAGCCCYATATATGGCCTTGGGACCTCAATAAAATTTTCCTTACATTGACTGAAGCAGTAAAAAAAAAAAGAGAGAGAGAGAGAGAGAGAGAGAGAGAGAGAGAGAGAGAGAGAGAGAGAGAGAGAGAGAGAGAGAGAGAGCGCGCGCGCTTAAGAAAATTTTTGGCTTGGTACAGTGGCACACCTGTAATTACAGCCACTTGGGAGGCTGAGGCATAGGATTGCTAATTTGAGGCTAATCCCAGCAATTTAGCAAGACCCTATCTCAAAATAAAAAATAAAAAGAACTGGGGTAAAGTACCCCTGGGTTCAACCCCTACTACTGCCCACCCCCCAAAACAAAAAGAAAAAGAGAATTTTTCTCTTTAAATACCCAATATAAAACCAACTCAGAGACAATCACCAAATGTAGATATAGCTCAGTGCTAAGAATTTCAAGATAAATGTTTGGTACTTTAGCTAACAGCTTGAATCAAATACAGTTTTTTTGAAAATTTCATTTTTTAAACCTATATAAAGAACAAAAAWTCAAATTTTAAAAAGGATTCAGCAAAATCTACAACTTATATGCAACAATATGGACATATMTCTTGAACAAAACATGGAATGAAGAAACCAGACATAGAGAGTACCTACCTACTGTATAGTTGCACTTATGTAAATTAYAAAAGAAAGAAAATTGATTTATGCTGTTGCAAATAAGGACAGTGGTTATCCTTGATGGGGCAGATAGTTAACTAGAAGATAGCATGATAAGATGGTGTGGGGTACTGATAATGTCTTTTGATCCAGATGCACATTACACTGATAACCAATGAAACTGAATGCTAAGTAAAATAGGTTCATTATAGTATTTTCTTTTTWAAAAAATATTTATTTAGTTGTAGATGAACATACAGTATCTTTATTTTGATGTGGTGCTGAGGATCGAACCCAGTGCCTCACACGTACGAGGCAAGCACTTTACCACTGAGCTACAGCCCCAGCCCCAATTATAATATATTTTCAACTTTTGTGACTGTTTGAATGTTCCACAATAAGAAGCTAATAAAAAGTTCCAACCCCTTAAGGAAATGAAAAAAAATTTTCTCTCTCATCAATGGATATGTAAGAAAGCTTAAAATACTTTAGTACAACAATGAGTTCTTATCAGTTAGGTGATGATAATAGCAATCAAGAAAACTCAGGGCTTTTTTGTCTGTTTGTTTTTCAAGCTGGGGATTCAACTGAGGGCCTTGTGCAGTGCATGCTAAGCATAAACTCTATCACTAAGTTACAACCCCCAGCTCCAAGATGACTTAGGTTTGATTACACTGGAAACTATGGAAAGAAGCATTTAAATTAATCAACAAAAAGGTATTCAACATAAACCTAGACTCCTTGAAAGGGAAGAATACAACAGAAAGAAAAGGTACTGTATTTAAAGATGGTTGAAAAATGGAAAACTTTTTGAGTCAATTCAATCAAGTATTCAACRATGTTGAGGAGACTATTAAAAATATGGTAATTCAAAAAAAGAAAGCTATGGATTAGAGATGTTCAAGTTTAATGAGATAGTGGTTAAAATGGTTCTTAAAACACTAAAAAATTTAAAATATCAGATAAGAAAGGGAGGGAGAATGACAAAAGGAAAAAATGTAAATGCAGATATGAGAATAACATCTGGGTAGATCATCTGTAAGAGAAGACAGTAAGTACATCGGTGTAAGAACAGACAGAGTTTCTGGGTCAGTGGATAAGACTAGAATAAGAAGTTGATTAAGAAGCAATAAGCAGGGCTGGGGTTGTGGCTCAGCGGTAGAGTGCTCACCTAGCACGTGCAAGGCCCTGGGTTCGATCCTCAGCACCACATAAAAATAAATAAATAAAATAAAGGTATTGTGTCTAACTACAATTAAAAAAAATAAAATATTTTAAAAAATGCAATAAGCAGTTTGTCCACCTTTTCATTTGGGAAGCAGCAAAATGAAAGTTTCTAGAAAAATAAATTGGTTTCATATTTAGAGAGGGTTAGAAAGAAAAGAATCTAAAAATATATAAAAAAACTCATTTGGAGGTTACTATACTAAGGAAGAGATAAGGAAAGCAAAAGAACATGAACAATAAAAATCATTAAAATATCAGGAGAATGATTTTACTGACTGAAATGGGTAAGATATGTACAAAAATATGGTTTAGTGGTTAAAAATTGGATTTTGATTCCATGATTGGTGTTCGTGACCTGATTCCACAGCTCATTGGCTTTTCAGTTATGAGCAAGTAACTAAGCTTCTGTAAGCTTCAGTTTTATTTTGCTGTAAGGAACTATACACCCTAAATTACAGTGAAGATTAAATATGCTAATATATTTAGAGGAGTATAATGATATTTTATGATAGAAGAGCTATGTTTTTCAATAAAAGATATTGAACGTGACTTCAGACACTCTAGTTGAAAGAATATAGATAGATTTGAATTTTAAAAATCCATTTAACAGAGATGGACATCATTACCCTAAGGTGCATGTATGACTACACATATGGTATGATGCTACAACATGTACAACCAGAGGAATGAAAAGTGTGCTGCAATTGTGTACAATGAATCAAAATGCATTCTGMTGTCATATATACCTAATTAAAAGAAATAAATTCATTWAAAAAAATCCAGTTAACAAAGTTAATCAAAGTTAACACTTGCCTTAACATTAATGGGGGAAATATTATTCACAAATTATCAGTGGTCATTARAAACAATCAACATCATCTACAAATCATGTATTTCAAGAAAGGCATTGTGTGAGGTACTCACCTGCACATCAGGAGAAGTGCTGTCCTGAGACAAAGTGTAAAGGATCCCAATGCAAGAATTTAAGTGCTGAGAAGAACTTATTCCTCCTAAATACCTATTTAGGGATCCCAAAGCCAACGAGTGTCCAGTCCTTGTAACCACATCCCTTGCTGACTTCAATCTGTAATTATGGGAATAAAAATAAATRACAAGCATTGAAAAAACAAAATCAAGCCTAACATATGTACTCTGTCATTTAGACAACCTTTTTAAATTTTTATTTATTTATTTTTAAAGACAGAACCGTGAGGGAGGCACTGTGGTGCATGTTTATAATTCCAGTATAATTCCAGCTCATTAGGCTGAGACAGAAGAACACAAATTCAAAGCCAGCCTCAGCAACTTAGCAAGGCCCTAAGCAACTTAGCAAGACCCTTTCTCAAAATAAAAAATAAAAAGGGCTGGGAATGTGGCTCAGTGGTTAAATATCCCTGGGTCCTGATACCAAATAAATAAATAAATAGACAGATAGATAAAAAAGACAGTCCTGGGCATAGAACTCATGTATATATACATGACAGAGTACACAGAATATATTTTGACATATTATATACACATGGAGTATAACTTATTCTAATTAGGATCCCATTCTTATGGTTATATATGATGTGGAGTTTCACTGGTTATATATTCACATAGGAACATAGGTAAGTTATGTGTGATAGATTCTACAACTCTCAGCTAATTTAAGYACTTTACACTTAGTTCATTTTTGTTTTAAATTTTATTATGAGAGGGGGTTTTGCTAAATACTGAGGCTAGCCTCAAACTTGTGATCCCTGACTCACGTCTCCTGAGCAGCTGAGATTATAGGTGTATACCACTGTGCCATGAGATTTAATTTTTCTTTATAATCTTCTCAACAATTCTGAGGTTAGCATCAGCCTGGCCTACATTAATAGTCTTAGAGGAAGCTTTTTTTTTTTTTGGTACCGGGGATTAAACTCAGGGGCACTCAACCACTGAGCCACATCCCCCAGCCCTATTTTGTATTTTATTTAGAGACAGAGTCTCACTGAGTTGCTTAGCGCCTCGCTTTGGCTGAGGCTGGCTTTGAACTCGTGATCCTCCTGCCTCAGGCTCCAGGACCACTGTGTATGGTGCCTAYATTAATATTCTTAAATAGAAAAGACAGTATTAATAACCTGCTATTTGAAATAGAGGAAAACTGGCTGAGAGGATTAAGCAATCTACCCAAAAYGATAGAACTACAGAAATCAAAGTACAGTTTATGTTTTTTTTTTTTAATCTGCAGTCTATAGTTTTTCCTTCTCCTATAGATTGGTGCTACTACCTATCATCTATATTTTACATAATAAAACTCCATTAAGTATCTAACTGTCCTAGAGTTTATTCCCTTGATGGTCACTTCATATTCTAGATAGTGATCTTTCTCTTACTACTTAAGACTAAAGCTGAAATAGTAATATTTTTGTTTCAAGATTAGCAGGCCAAGGGCTGGGGATATGGCTCAAATTGTAGTGCGCTCACCTGGCATGTGTGAGGCACTGGGTTTGATCCTCAGCACCACATAAAAATAAAATAAAAATATTATGTCTACCTAAAGCTAAAAAATAAATATTAAAAAAAAGACCAGCAGGCCATGAGAGTTCTTTGGTTAAAAAGTTTTTTTTTGTTTCTTTTATACATACATGACAAGAGTATATATAGAGACTGCATTTTGACATATATACATGGAGTATAACTTATTCTAATCAGGATCCCATTCTTGCGGTTATACAAGATGTGGGGTTTCACTGGTGGTGTATTCATATATGAACATAGGAAAGTTATGTCTGATTGATTCTACTATCTTTCCTATTTCATCCTTCCTCCCTTCCCTTCATTCTCCTTTATTATTGTCTTTTCTATTACACCCCCGCCCAACTTTTTGTGTGTTAGCATTCACATATCAGAGAGAACATCTGACTTTTGSTTTTTTGGGATTGGCTTATTTTACTTAKCTGGATCTATCCATTTACTGTCAAAAGYCATTCTTTTTTATGGGTGAYTAATATTCCAGCGTGTATATATACCACATTTTCTTTTTCCATTCATTTGAAGGGCATCTTGGTTGGTCCATAGCTTAGCTATTGTGAATTAAGCTGCTAGAAACACTGATGTGGCTGCATCACTGCAGTATGCTAATTTTAAGTCCTTTGAGTATATACTGAGGAGTCGGATAACTGGGTCAAATGGTGATTCCATTCCATGTTTTCTCAGGAATCTCTGTACTGTTTTCCAGAGTGRTTGCACCAATTTGCAGTTCCACCAGCAATGTATGAGTGAAACTTTCCCCCCACATTCACACCAATGTTCATTATTACTTGTGTTCTTGATWACTGTCACTCTGACTGGAGTGAGATGTAATTTCAGTGTAGTTTTAATTTGTATTTCTCTAATTGCTAGAGATGTTGAACATTTTCTTAAAAACAGATTTTTAGATGTTGATGGATTTTTATTTTATTTATTCATTTATATTTGGTGCTGAGAATCTAWCCTAGTGCCCCAYGCATGCTAGGCCAGTGCTCTACCATTGGGCCACAACCCCAGCCCCTGYTGAACATTTGTTCATGCATTTGTTGACCATTTGTATTTCTTCTTCTGGGCAATGCCTGTTCAATTCCTTTGCTCATTTATTGGTTGGGTTATTTATTTTGGTGTTAAGTTTTTTTGAGTTCTTTATACATCCTGGAGAGTAATGCTCTATTTGAGGTACAGGTGGCAAAGATATTCTCCCATTCTATAGGTTCTTTTTTCATGCTCTTGGCACCCACATTTGTTAGTTTTCTTTTCTTAGTTAAATCTATGAATCAGATTTCTTACTAGTTCCAACAAATCAACAAGCTATTACCAATTTTATCACATAGCCCCTGGTATTAAATAAAAAATTAACTTACTTGTCAAAGCTAACTTGAGCTAATCCAGCAGTAAAAGCTCCATCATCAACTAMTTGGGCTAATCTAGCCCATGCCTCTGCAGCTGCACATCTCAAAAGGGGGTTGGGACTTTCTAGGGCTCCCATCACTAATGTTAGGGCAAGTCTTCTCATTTCATCTGGACCTAAACTTCCCTTTGAGCCAGCCACATACTAAAATACATAAAGAAAAAATCAAATTTAGAACTATAGCAAATTCTCTTATCTAGCTGAGAATGTACATTCTTGTTAACATGTAAGTTCATATATGTTAATACTTTAAAACATCAGAACACAAAAATGAACACTGATCACACAAACAAAATTTGCTCTTTTTTTCACAAAGTACTTTAAAATTTTACCACCAGGCAAACAAAATAGCAATCAATTATCACTATGGCATAAATGTGTTCCAAAGAACATTAATAGATGTCTAAAAGGAACCACCTGAATGAATCCTGTAATATTTTACTTAGAATCAATAAGTCACAAATGCAACAGTGAACTGGATTTGGCCCATAGGCCACAGACCATCAATCCCTAGGCTGGTATTATACAAAGAAAAAGTAGAAGAATTTCAAATCCTGAAACACTACCATCAGGAGATTAGGACAAATTTAGAAAATAAAGCTCTTTAAAAATATTATTCTCCATAATTAGCYATACATTTTTTAAAAAGAATTAAGCAAATATTTGAATTTAAAAAAGTAGAATTACCTTTAAAAAATTAGAAATGGAAGAAACAACATGTAACTGAACTACTTGTTGACGAGCTCCTTTTGTGTGCTTCATACTGTTCAAAAGCTGTTCCAATATAAGAAGCCTAAAATAAGAAGCAACAAAACTTAAAAGCAAGTAGATAATTTTGGTACCGGGGATTGAACCCAGGAGTGCTTAACAACTGAACCACATCCCTGGCCCTTTTTAAATTTTGAGACAGGTTCTCAACAAGTTGATCTCAAATCTGTGATCCTATTGCCTCAACTTCCAAGTGTCTGGGATTACAGGTATGTGCCACCAAGCCCAGCCCTTATAGCTTTTGACTAAATGCTTAGAACAGACAATTCCACCTTTTAGAAAGAGGTGAAAAAGAAATTACCCCCAAATTATCAAATTCATATCAAGTTGCAACAAATTCAACACAGAATCAGATTACAGGGATCTCCTGAGTCTTCTTTTAATGAGCATTTGTCTAGTAAGTGTCACTGTTAGCCGATTCCTTGGTTCTTTTTTTTTATATATATACATTTTTTAGATGTATAGACCTTTATTTTATTCATTTATTTATATGTGGTGCTGAGAATCGAACCCAGTGTCTCACACTATGCTAGGCAAGCACTCTACCACTGAGCCATAGCCTCAGCCCCTTGGTTCTTTTTTAAAAAAATATTTATTTTTCAGTTTTTCGGTGAACACAACATTTTTATTTTATTTTTATGTGGTGCTGAGGATCGAACCCAGCGCCCCATGCATGCCAGGCCAGCGCGTTACCACTTGAGCCACATCCCCAGCCCTCCTTGGTTCTTAATACGAAGACTTATTAAAGTCAAATACCTTGCTTTGTCTTAAACTTAGTACCAACATATGTCATTGATAGTTAAGTAGAAGAGACACAATTCTTTGAACCCCCACCCATAATTCAAAAATGTATTTGGGATCATACCAAATATAACACAATTTTAACTCTTGTTTTTCTCATTTAATATTACCTCTTTAGTATTTTTAAATTAATTTAATTCTTTGGTAACTTTTGTGAACCTGAAATTCATTAAACAYATGCTCCACAATTTATTTAACCATTCTCTCTCTGATGAGAGTAGTTTTCCAATTATCACAATTTATAATAAATATACATACTATTTTTGGTCTGGGGTTGCATGTCTACTAACTATTTGTATGTCTTTTGTGAATCATTTTTCATGTCTTTATAGCACAGAGGTTTTCTTTCTTTTTTTTTTTAAATTTTAGTTGGACACAATACCTTTATTTACTTATTTTTATGTGGTGCTGAGGATCGAACCCAATGATTCCCACCTGCTAGGTGAGAGCTCTACCGCTGAGTCATAACCCAGGCCCCCAGAGGTTTGAATTTCTTAAGATTAAAGATATATAGCCATGAAACAAGTCACCCCATTTTTTTTTATCAATTTCTTCTTATAGACATAGTCTCTAATCTCAATATTTTCTTTCCCCTCAACTCTCCAATTTAATTAAGGAAAGCTGAAATAACATTGAATATTATTTTGAGGTTTATGAATTATCTTGATAGCAGGAATAATGCTTTATAATTTATCTTCATTTTTTTAACATCTTGTGTTTGGCAGGTAGTAGGCAGTCAAATCTACTTGTCTAATATACATAAAGGTTAACTGTATTGAACAGATAAAAACAGGGTGTGACTAGATGGCATATGGGTATGCTTTTATCTGACCCTAGTGTATTTCTAATAAAATTCCCCAGTTCTTAGCTAGATCTTTATCATTATGTTGAGGCCACAGGCTTAATATAATTCTACTCCAAATGATAATTTTATTATCAAAGCAACATAGATATGGGTATTGTGCCTTTAAAAAGTCCAACTGCAAAAGTCAAAGAAAAAAGGAAGGTGCTAGCTAGGCCATGTATTATCTGCACTGGAAAAAGTACTATACATATTAATTCATATCATATAATAAAAATAGAAGATCACTAAGAATTGGGAAAACCATATCACTCTAATATTCACCCATGATCCTACCATCTAGAAAGAGGTACCATTAATATTTTGTCACGTTTGTTCTTATCATTTCCCCCCTAGGCATATGAAAATAATTTTTAGAAAACCGAGATGATGAGGCTGAGGATGTAGCTCAGTGGTAGCATGTTTGCCACTTATCTAGCATGTGTGAGGTCCTGGGTTCAATACCCTAGGACAGCAAAAAAAAAAAAAAAAAAAAAAAAAAA